TCTTCATCACATCTTCATCACATCTTCATCACATCTTCATCACATCTTCATCACATCTTCATCACATCATCTTCACATCTTCACATTGTTACGACCCCAGGCCCTGGTCTCTTTCTCTCTCTCTCTGTGTGTGTGGGTGTGTTTCAGGCTCAGGTGTTTCTGGAGCTGATTGGAGATGGAAGGCAGCTGGCCATAGTCTCCGGGGGAGCTTACTTGAGAGATGCCTTCACCACCAAGGAGGGCTATTTTTGTTGGCCCTTGAGGGCTTTTATTTTTTGCTTTAGTTAATAATAAATCACTTTAAGTTACACTTGCCTGCTTCCCCTTTTATTTGTTATGGTTTTGAGCTAGGCCATAACACTATCCATCCATTATCCTTCATCCATCCATCCATTATCCTTCATCCATCCATCCATCCATTATCCTTCATCCATCCATCCATCCATCCATCCATCCATCCATCCATCCATCCATCCATCCACATGTTTGTTTAATTAAGGCACAAATACTCTGCTTTGATTAGACAGAACTTTTCCAGGTCAGTGTGTCTTTAAATTACTGATTTGGACTGTTTGGATATTTTTCTATAACTGTGTAGAAATGGATTTGACTTTGTGACTTACTAGATTCTTTTTGACAGTGTTCTCAGTGCTTTGTTCCATTGTATAATGGTGSAGATATGGACAGAAATGTTGGTCCATATTAAATGAAGGTTAAACCCCGGAGAGCTGCTCCATTGGATCATGTGGCAGGTGTGGCACTCACCAGGAAGAAGCTGGCCCGATTGGATGTGAGCTGGACCTGTGTGTCAGCAGGCAGAGTGAAGACCGCCACTCTGTTCTGTTCATCCATCACCACGGCTCGACACAGGAAGCTGCTCACACACACACACACACACACACACACACACGCACACAAATTAGGATCTGTTGATAAATGGGATGTGGACCATGTCAGTAATCTGGGAACCAGCACAGATGTAAACAGTTTTGTGCTTATATCCTCTGAACATCATCACGTAAAACTAATCCCTGGTGTTTTCATGTCATGAAAACATGATGGACAGACTGTCAGCATGAACAAGCACTAATAGAACTGTATATTTTTACACCGCAAATGTCAAAATAATTCACTGGAATTTTATGTGACACAAAGTAGAACTGTAAAGAAATGTAAATTCTGAATGTTTTTTAAGGCTTGTCCATTCAAAAATAATGTTATTCATCCAACAAAGTAGCTATTCTCAACTTGAGATGGAGTATAAAAATGTTTTATTTATTTTTGGTCTTGGACCTTCATCCTGTCTGCAGTGACCAGGGGCCTCATGTATAAACGGTGCGTACACATAAAAAAGTTACGTGCGCCAGATTCCACGTCCACGTTGTGATGTATAAAAACCAACGTTGAGTGAAAGTGTGCGTATATTTACGCACTTTTCACCTGCTGTGAGAATGTGCGGCAGCCACGCAAAGTTTTTCAGCCGACAGTTTTAACTCACAAAGTCACGAATCTGACCTGAATCCACAGAAATATGACTTTGTTGTGTTTTCTGGATGTAAGGAGCGTCTGAACACGGTGTCAGATTTTTATTTTAGTTTGAGTTTTTATTGTTTAAACTCGAACGATCATGAAACTGAACCCCAGGACTGAAAATCATTTAACCTCAGACAAGAAAATAGATCAGTCTAAAAATGATCAAAGACCCTCAGTCCAGTCTGTAAACTGTTTTTGTATTTTTGTCACATAGTTGGAAACCTTTTGGGTCCCGGGCCAGAAAAACCCGACACATTACGTGTGGCATAAAATAAATAAATAAAATAAAGAAGGCTGAAGAGAGGGAGAAAAAATCAGATGCAAATGGTGGCTCACTGTACGGTAAGAATAATTGTTTTTTCTATTTATAACCTTCTGGCTGATGCTGAGCTGATCTGTGGCCGGAGCGCAGCAGCTGCGCTTTGGGTAGCTATTCGTGCCAGGCGCGCACCCTCGCCAGCTGGAAACGTGGTCATATATGTCAACTCCTTTGGACGTTTACCTGTCTAATGAGCCTCAAAAATCTATATTTTTTGCTAAAAATCCATAGGCTACCACTCGTATCTGCTCGTGGGGGTGGGGTGGGGGTCTGTAGAGATGACAGCACCTGCTGTAAAGCAGGAGGAAAGGAGAGAGGAAAAAGTGGATAACGGGATGGTTTTTTTCTTTGTTTTTGTTTTGTTTTGTTTTTTAATGTCCGTTCAAAGCCGTGTTCAACTAAATATACAACAACTAACCAGACTTTAATATCACATTCAGGAGATGTCTGTAAATTTCAGGAAAATCTCAGGCTTTGGTTATCCCGTGCAAATGCACCACATAAAACAATGACACTCCACTCCTTATTTAGACAGTTTTCTCACTCATTCTCCATTTAATTTATATTTTTCCTGCATCTAAAAATCATTTCTGATCCCACAGAGAGGACAATCTGAGGAGAATCTCACACTCTGGACACATTTACATCTATTTTACATATTTAAATGGAGACGTGTCAGGGGAGGTTTCTCACGTGCGCTCAGTTCCACGTTCATTGGGATGTATAAAGGAAAGGTGCAGGAACCTGCATGGATTTATACATCTGAATATTTTGGTGCGGTGCACTTTTCTAAATTTGTCTGTACATCAACTTTTAGTGTGAAAGCTGCGCACTCCTTTATGCATGAGGCCCCAGGACTGCAGGCAGCTGGTTTCAGCTCACTGATATGACTCCGTCTGAATCTGGACCTCACATGATTTTATTTAAAGATCAACTGTAGATTTTTCTTGTTGGAAAACCAGACCTGTACGTGCAGTGCAGCAGGGTGACTCGGTGCTGATTTTTCCGTGCAACTGGTGTGTTGACAACAACAGACAGAGTCTGAGGTAATTCTTCTTCACTTGAGTATTCCACAATCAGAACGTGATCTCCTGGAGACGACACGTGCCCTCCAAGGTCCACGCTGATCTGTGGTGAAAAGAAAACCTGATCATTTTCTGCACTTTTTTTTTCAGTTTATATAAAACAAAGCCTCCTACATCCAWGCCGCTGCAGACGGCCATGGTGGGATGGCGCGGGGTGACCTTCTCCGTTGGGCAGGGCCGCGGCAGGTGGTTGTCATTACGGCAACTGGCGTCGTTTCCCGAGATGGAAGGGAAGGAGTCCAGAGACAGATACCGGTACAGCAGACAGCTGCACGAGGAAAGACAAATCAGAACATGGTTATTACATTTCTTATTGCATTTTCTCAAGGAGGAAAAAAGATGTATTGTCTTTGAGATTTTTAGTAGGAGTTTTAACCCTAATTAACCCTATTTCTCTTCTTCTTACACCAATGAGTTTAGTGAGGAGATAAAAATACAGTCTTTAATAAAAAAAAACTGCTTGGTGTTGGCAGGAAATGTTTTACCAGGAACCAAGACCAACAAGTGAGTGAGGAAGTGAGTGAGTGAGTGAGTGAGTGAGTGAGTGAGTGAGTGAGTGAGTGAGTGAGTGAGTGAGTGAGTGAGTGAGTGAGTGAG